ATATAACACAAATATATTTTGTTATCCATTTACTTTTTTTATTTTATAAACATGATCAGCAGCCAGCGCAGACTATTCAAAATTACTGGTTTCATGAAGTAGTTGAACACATGTGAAGTGGTGAACTGCGCTTCAGCGTACGTGTTTGTACCTAGAAATAGCTAGTCGTCTATTTTAGCATCTGACCTAATTCTGTCTTTGCAATAATGTAACAAAAATGGAAATAAAACAAACAAGAAATCACAAACAAAAATAAATAAATAAATGGCGCTCCGTATATTTGTTGAAAACAAACCGCGACCGAAATGAAGCGCGACCGAAACGAAGCGCGACCGAAACGAAGCGCGACCGAAATGATCTGTATTCATGGGTTCAGATCCACAATTCACAAAATTCTCTCGGTTTGGTTATGGATGAATTTCGGTGATAACCAGTTGCTTGCTTTTTATATGTCCGAATTGATTTATATTCTTTAGACAATATACAATAGAATGTTAGAGTTATATCTCAAAGCTCAAAGGTGACAATAGAATTTATTTCTCTAATAAATAATAGGTTATGTAAAAGGTGTGTCTAGAATAAAACAATTTGATTGGTCCACTGATTATCCATTCATAAATCACTGATACACCCACCATAGCGCGAAAAATGGTGTCAGCTAAATCCAAAGGTGGCGCCCGCCGTCGGGGAGAAAAACCACAATTCGTCGTAGAGAAAGAAATTTATTTGTATTTTCTACATCATAGTTACCAACCTGAGAGATTTGAAATGTGTGAGTGACCACACCATGGCTGGGGGAGGGGTGGTGTCTAGGGGCGGAGCTCCGGCGGGAGGGTGTGGCCTCCGGCGGGAGTGGTTACTGCATCCGCCCCTAACCACTCTCTACAATATTCTTTTAAACATTTTGTAAAATGTTGATACTCAACCATGCACCATAACTCCAAATATGAAATACGATAATAACAAAGAGTATAGTAATGAAATGGAAAACACCTTATTGAATTATGTTTATATATATTTTTTTTTATTTTTAGGGACATATCTTAACAATCAACTACGAATACACCAAAAAGTAAGTTTATCTCGGGCAGTTGTGTATCTGCACATAAACAACACCCCCACCCCACCAAAAAAAAAAAAGCTCTCCCACCCAGCTTCCCCCATTAGAAATTTGCTTAGCATAAAACATGATCAAGTACTGTACTTATTAATCTCCTCATTTCACCATATTTTGCTAGCTAAAGCCACCTCATTTATTAACAAGCTCCCTGCATAACCTTTGTGAACAACCAGCCCCCAACTGATTTCAGGGGTTCTTATTCTATACCGAAAGGTCAACTGATTAATCTCAGATAAGATAGTATAATACATATACTCCAAGTATCGAAATGCACACCATCGTGTCGGGATTCAATAACATTAATTATGTCATCATCAGGATGATGACATAATTAATGTCGAAATATTGAATCCCGACATGATGGCGTGCATTTCGATACTTGGAGTATGTATTATACTATCTCATTATTCTATACTGTACTGTAATTACAATATATGGTGTCATTAAAGAACAATATATTTTACTGTCGTCCACCGTTTTCAACGATTCAAAAATGGAATACCCAAACTAAAGTGGAAACTAAACTATCTAAGAATCACTCTGTTAATTAAACTTTGAAGTCCTTTTATGTTTTGTTTTTACCTATCAATAACGATGATGATACAACAGCTTCAGCAACAACAAACATAACAAAATGGTATTAAAACCTGTGCACCACCACAGTCCTGAATGAAGTGAAAGTTGCATCAAACATTGGCAAAAAGGCAAGATTCATAATTTATAAATTTCAAACTAAAACTTTATAATTCTTTCATAATGCCAAAAAAGTAAGATGCTAAAAACCTTCTAATAGTTGTAACAAATGAAGTTTTTTTGTACTAAAATCAAAATCAAATTTTAAGCAACAGGTGCAAAACTACAAAGACAATAAACAACCCAATAAACACTGCAGCGCTATATTATTAGAAGTCACACTTATTGAACAGAGGAGCTCATACAAGACCAGTGCTTATTACAAATTATTGGGGCGGTACAATTATTGTATGATGTGTTGTACATAGCCAATATTTATTTTTTTATTACATACTGTAATGCTCGAATAAGCGCCGCTGCGCTTATATTATTTTTGGAGGCTTCAGTGCGGCGCTTATTCGAGGGAGGCCCTTATAAAAAATGTACTGGCATGGTGCTTTCCATGCCCGTTCCAAAGTAACCTATCTCATGTATCCCTGTAGTTCAGTAGGCCTATCACAGTCCTATGTCATCTTAAATAAACGTTTATAAGGTCGCTTGTGTCTTCATTGTGTTATTTATTCATTTTAACACTGTATACATCGTTTAATATTGTTAAAATACATGATGAAATTTCAGGGGCACCGATCCAGAATTTTTCAAACAGGGGGACATTTGTATTCCTTTCTTCTCATATTTCAATAACTATCATTGATATGCACTGAAATTAAAAAAATTTAGTGTCAAAATTGGGGGTGGGGGAACGTGCACCCAACTGTATGCGCGTCTGCATTTTCAAGTTACCAATATAGAAGGTTCATTTTAATCAACAGCTTTATTTGTAAAACTACAAAAACATAAGGTAATATAACTTTTTTTTTTGTACTCTAGAATAACTTCTACCCCAACCCAGCATAAATCTAACAACGGCTAAGTACGTACTGATAAATATTAAAAATAGTTTAATTCATATTTCAGGGATTTCCAGTTTATTAACAAAATTTGTTGACAGTTCAGTTTGTCGATACACTGTACGTTGTATTGTGCTACTTTGTGCGTTTACGTTTCTTTTTCGGTGTAAGTGAGCTCGTAGTTGGAGACGATGACCTCGTTTCTTTCAATTGTTCGTTGTAGTACTTCTTCATATATGGTTCAGTAACTTCCCAGACCTAAATAATTAAAAAGAAATATTATAACCATCAATCCCATCCTGTAAAGGTCAACTCAGACAGTGTAGACGCAGCCCTCTGCGATGTTGTCATGTTAGATATCCGTGAAATAAACGCAGACGTGATAGCCTAGCAGTGGCGTATCTACGAGTCTTGAAATGGGGGGGGGGCTGGTGAGAGGTGCAAAGATGAATTGGAGTCTCGATGACTAGGTGAGGGGCACTAACTCAAAAAATAAGGTGATTTGAGATGATTTTTAACTACTTCAGTGTGATTTTCTTGGGGGGGGGGGGGAATTTGGCGGAATGAGTATTTTTTTTTTTGGGGGGGGGAAATTTGGGGGAATGTGTATTTTTTTGAGGTAGTGCATACCCTGTGTACACTTAGATACGCCATTGCTGCCAGGTCTGCATCAGGGACGGTCGCGTCATGTTTAATTTCTTACAAAGAACTGAAGACTGACAAATATCTGCGAATTGCTAAATAAGTTTAATATGAACAAAAATATATAAAACTAAAATGCAAAAAACTATTTTCCATTGTATTTACCTTTCCATCTTTAATCAGCTGATGGGCAAATTCTATGTCAGGGGCGATGTACCTATCTCTGTCCCATGGTCTGCGATAGAGGAAAACAATAGTTAGAAAGACTTTAAGTGCATGGAGGATTTTAACCAGGGCTCAAAGGTCGTCAACATCATCAATTCAACATAAATCCGCAATTACTGATCACATACTACAACAAAACCATAGAGTGGGACGCTACTATCTTACAGGGTGATATACAAAAAAGGCAAATAAAAGAGTCAACATTAGGAAACACGCAAACACGAACATGTACAGGGACGAAGGAGCACATGAGTTGTCTCATATTTAGGACCAGCTGCTACTAAAGGAGGAGGGAGAACATCCAGTAGGACCAAATGTTGGTGGCGCTATTCAAAAGCAGCGCAACGTCACAGCACATTCCTCTGCTAGAGGACAGCATATCATCATCACCATCATTATCACTACCACCATCATTACAATCTTCACCAATATCATCATCACCATCATTATCACTACCACCATCATTACAATCTTCACCAATATCATCATCACCATCATTATCACTACCACCATCATTACAATCTTCACCAATATCATCATCACCATCATTATCACTACCACCATCATTACAATCTTCACCAATATCATCATCACCATCATTATCACTACCACCATCATTACAATCTTCACCAATATCATCATCACCATCATTATCACTACCACCATCATTACAATCTTCACCAATATCATCATCACCATCATCATCATCACCATATCTATTAAAGGATACTGGATTGTCTGTTGCACTGTTCATTTCTGTTGTTATAACACCTCGCACAAACTCCAGAGTATCGTGTACAATTCCATGTACCTGTAAGAAGCAAGAAATTAAATAATCAAAAAGATGAAATATTGATCAAATTACACTCAATATCGTCAATGGTGCTGGAAGGGGGGGGGGCAGGAGGTCATTGGCACCTCCAATTTTGTCACTGCTTCCAGCACCAGTGGCAAACACTGTTAGCGAACGCTATACGATGTCGTTATTTTTATTATTATTATTATTTTTTGGTGCTTAGAGAACTTTGTTTATTTTCGTCTTAGGCTTATAAATCGACCTATTTATATTAT